TTGTTTTTATTCTCTTTCAATACACAGTCTGTCGCCTATAATAATGGGCTGTATTTTTGTCATTTCTGGTGGTATTTATGCCATCACTACTCCTATTTGGGGAAGACTTTGTGATAAAGGGGTTTGTAATAAATCTTATAATTATCTCTCGTAAAACCCAATTAATTATCAAAAATATTATTTTTCTCTTCGCCACAGTTTGATCCCAAGAAACTATCATTATTTGGTTCACTACTGTGTCTCATAGGCTTCACATTCATAGGACCTCTTGATTTCATTCCTCTTGAAACGTAAGACATGCCAAACATTGATAATAATTATACAAATATTGTAAAATTAGAAAATACATTTATAAATATTATATTTGATATTACAGTGAATTATGGCTTGTAATCATATCCCTGTTATTCATTGGTCTGGGAATCGCATCAAAACTGGTCACAGCATTCATCAGCGCTTTGCACGACTCAATACATCGACGAGGTTTTGCCGACGATATATCCACCTATGGATTAGTGTCTGCGATGTTCTTCTGCGCCTGTAGTATAGGGTATGAACTCATTGACCAACTCTTTGCTTAATTCCCACAATAATGTATTTAACACTCCTTTACAGTGCATTCATCGGTCCCTCTTTGGGTGGTTTCCTATTGGATAGAATTGGTTATCGAAAGGCGATTCTCGTTATTCTGGTCGTCGATATTGTTATGGTATTTGACATTCACTTTCCGATTGATATTTCATTTGTTTCACTAATAAATTGTGTCCGACTTTTAGGTATTATTTCATTTGATTTATATGACTGCCAGAAGACTACAAAAGTCCGACAGAGACGACGAACTCCGACCACTTCTCGCAAATTAACTGTATTTTAATTATTAGTGAAATTAATTTTAGTGTTTTTTAATTTTCTATTTATTTATATCGCATTTATTATTCATTTTTATTAAATAATTTGTCATTAACTTTTGCACAAATAAAGTATTGCTTTTTTAAATCGCCGATTCATTTATTAAATAAAATGTTGTTTTAATTGAAAAGTTTGCACAAAAGTAAGAATAGAAAATGGTTTAAATATTAATTTACATTCTTTTAAAATTAAACAAATGTAATAAATTAAACAATATATGTAAGGCTTAAAAATATTTAATTAATAATTATTGTTTTTCTATTATTAAAACAACTAAACAATGTTAAGTTAACATAAAACTAATTATTATCAAGATAACTATTAATATAAAAGAAAGTGAAAATTGTATAGAATTATAACGCAATTAAAATTACGTAAAAATTAATATTTTAAGTCAAAATTTTACTAATAATTAATAATAAAAATTTTAATGAAATTCTCACTATATCAAATCTCAAAATCTCGTCAGTATTGTTCAAAATAATTTATTTATAGCGCTGTTTAAATAGTTGCAAAATTGTTTAGGAGCATCTGGTTACACTAGGCAAAGTTTTGTAAAATACAGTATAATGTGCAGTACAGTGCTATCGATGGGATTATACAGTAAATGTATTTCGCAACCACTAGAAGTCTATAACTAATTATCAACAAAACAATGTGACAAAAGCACAACTCCTATTCAATTGTGAGTTCAATGATCTTATATAATATCTAATTATATAATAAGTAATTATCTCTAAATTATCTGTTTATACCAAATGTTTCTTAATATAGAGAGTAATACATATAAAATCAAATATAAGTGAAATTTTGCAAACAATATATTGTTTTGAAAATGTCGACAATATTTTACCCGCAAAATACAATTCCTGTTAATATATCGCTTACAATAACACAAATACTAATTATCTATACTTTAAATTAGTTGTACTCTATATTTGAATATTTACTTTAAATGTTATATTCAATTAATCCAAATATAATAATATTTTTAAAATATTTTGTACATGCTTACCTGTTAATAACTTATTATGGTAATTCTATGCACATTAATTACGCTGGCATTAAAGACCTTCAGAATATTTATTCCAAAGTATCTAAAGTATCATATTCATATATCTTTAACCTCTGAATATACTTAAAAACATAAAATGAAAGTCTTTACTAATCAAACATATGATTATTAATTGTAATCAATATTTTCAATCACTTTTTAAGTCTGTCGTGTAATGCGTGAAAAATATTATCAAATAATGGTTTGATTAATAGATTTAATTGATTGAATGGTATATTGAAAGACATGTATTCTCGTCATCAAGTTTTATATGTCCTGTACTTTAAAAGCGTATCCAATCTGTGAGAAGATAGTGTTTGTTATTAACCAGTTTTTATGTATAATCTTGTAATATAGGGATGGATTCAAATTTATTTTATTTTAATAACATTTAAAATATAATGTTTAAAAAGTTTAAAACTTCACAAAATAGTGAATTTATGAAGAATGTAATTTATTGGATCGTTCCTATAACCCGATTAACATAGGGGTTTAAATAAATTAACATTTTATAAATTATATCAAGACAGATTATATTGATATTACATTAGAAGTTAATTTTGCTTTATACATTTTATATGTATGATTTTTATATTTAAAATATTAATTCTAAAATAATAATACAAACTGTAATTTTAAAATTGTTAACAATATTATGCGTTTAAAATTGAAAATTCACCAAAGAATGATTGGTCACACTAGGTCACGCTTAGGTAATATTTAATATTCGTCTAATTAAATTTATTTTTAAAAATCATATTATTTCAATCAACATTTAAAATTTACCACGTTCAGTAATAATTTATGCAACATTTTTACAAATTCTGGAATTTTATTTAATTTATTTTAAGTTATATTTACGTAAAACTTAGTTTTCCAAAATTAATAACAAGAACTCATGATATGATGATGGTCATTTATGTAATTCAATCAATTTTCCAATTGAGTTAAATCTGTATTCAGTTTAATTAAGACCCTAAACGTTGCCTTAAATTTATACCTAAACTTTCTTAAAAACTTCACCAAAACTAAAAACTTACATCCCTAAATGTAAAATGATAAAAATGATAAACTATATGTAATTCTGACACTTTCTATCTAACTTATAAATATTATAAGTTATTAAAGGGATTATTTAAAAATACATAAATACTTATAAATACTACAATTAAAATAAGATTTACAACAGGAATATTCTTGATAAAAGGGCAATTTGTTATGATTATAAATCAAGCTTGTTAGTTTTTTATTTAAAAAATCACTTATAACTTATCACTTACTTAGTTAGTTACGGTACTTGTATTTCAAACTTTTCTCAAGTATTTTTTCAAACTTATATTAACCAAACTTTTGGATCAATTTTTTTGACGACAGACACTAAAAAACGATATTTATTTTGCAATACTTGCCAATAGATTAGATAACAGTTATAATTAGTTTATAATTTATTTTATTGATATAAAATGTATTTCAAAAAATCAATTGATTGACTGTTAAGAGACAAAAATCTTCAATTTTAGTGTGAAATACATTAAATGAGCGGAAATGTCGTCCATTGGTTCACAACTAATTCGGTTCACGAACTGTGAGATACTTAGAGATCATAAGATAATACGCGAAGACTTATGGGTTCGCAACGGAAAGATCGTAAATCCAGAACCGATTTACTATTTGGAGACACGATTGGCTGACATTAGCATCGACTGCA